TATCTTGGTCTTCATATCTTGCATAAAATAAAACTGCACTATGGTCTATGTTTTGGTTGATCGGTGATATATAACTACACAGGCCGTCTATGTGACCTATCAAAATCACACCCTTTCTAGATTTTGCGATTACGTTTTTGTAAGTAAAATTAGGACAAATCAATTTAAAGGGCATAGCATTGAATATTTCTTTTAGTATGAAAGATGGGATGAAAAAGATTCGTAAATTAACCTTACCTGAAACTGAAGAAAGATTGTCCTAGAAGTGATGGTGGAAGACCTAAGAGTAGAATTCCTAGAAATTAACTAAGTAGAGGATTGGAGATATCATTTAATATTACATAGATGTGTCTCTAGCAAGAATTTATTATCCAGGCTGGAGAGCAGCTTCAGATTTTTCCTGACAGTTGCAGCCTCCAAAAAAGCTTCTAATATAGGGGCCATAAAGAGCAGATCGCAAGTTGAAAAGTATCCGAATAAAATCAAGGATCAGGACGACCGAAAGTCAATAAACCTGCCCTCATGTGAACTGAGTCAAGAATTGTAACAGTCACTAAGAAAAGGAATTATCCTGATTATAACGAAATAGAAGACAACCTTCTTCACCAGCCTGCCAACGCAACACGAGAAAGGAGAAAGGAATTGCTCGGCAGTTTATCGCATCAAATGCGGCAACTGTGAGCAGAAGTCTACAGATAAAACAGAAAGAAAAATCGGACTGCTAATTTAAAAACATCAACCACTTTACAAAAACATGGATAGAGAAAGATCCAAAAAAGTGGAACGCATTGCTCGGAAAGGACATGAAATCGACACAAAGACTAGCTGCATATGGTGAAAACAAAAGTAAATGCAAGATCCGAGAGGCCATCGATGTCCTGACTAAAAAAAATCTAATGAACAGGAGACTTGAAGAAAGCAGGAGTAGATAAAACAATGCATATTGCTTAAGAAAGCTCGGGGGAGATGAGTGAACAGCAAGATTAGCGAAAAAAGATAACTAGGCCAAGGAAATAGTTAAGACTTTAGGAAAATAAATCGCAGAGTAGGTTATACAGGAAGAATCGAAAACTAAGTGAAGACATCTACAGTGAGCCTAGCCAAAGCAAGTAGAACTATACAATTTGAGGGTTAGCACTTCAGATACTAGGGCATAGAGATGTCATAGACTTGGCATTATTGATAGAAGTGTGAGAAATGTGACAAGTGATTGAGCAGGTGGGGCCATTGCTGCTGTTTTGCCGCTGTCGACCAGCTAAATGTGAGGCACAAACCTCTAAACCGTCCGAAGTTGATGCGGTTTGGGCATAGATGTGGTCTGTGAAGTAAAAGCTTGACCTTGACCGAGGTTTACCCAGCCCGACTCTAGAAAGTATCAAGGATACCATGGACTCCAGGCAATGCACATTACTCTAGGGCCCACTGAGAATATGGCCAAGTTGCGAAAGCAAGGTCAAACAACTTCTATACAACAAAACGAGAACATAACCATGCTAAAGGCCACACTATCTTGGTCTCCACACCTTCAATTAAGCAAGCTTTATTGTATTTCAAGCGGGTTGAAGCCAAATAATACTGAGAAAATTATTATTTAGCTAAATATTTACACAATCTACACAAAGCACCTAAATGAGCTGAAGAAAGGAAAATCGTAAAAACGAATTAGAATTTCTAACACTGTTAGTACTTTAACTTGTCGGACTACGGTGGGCACAGATTTGGTGACGGACGTCAGGGAGGAAGGGCCTCGAAATTGACCGCTGCAAGGCCTAGCTGTCCAAACTAAGTCAGCTTTGGTTTCTGACGAAGTAGCATTAGCCTTTATTCTACCTTCTTCCACAGTTAATGAGGCATTAGCTCCGCCGCCATCTGCAGAAGGGAGGAAGGGAGATTTTTTCGGTTTTTTTGAATTCCAAGAGCAATCTCGAATTGATGCTGAAGTGACTGTCCTTCCTGGTGCTGTGAGATATTCTGAGGCAGCAGAGGCTGCAATCGCCTCTTGCCGGATAGTCTCAAGAAGACCAGAGTGCTTGGCACGCAGTTCTTTGGACCATCCCCCCAGTCGGTGCCATGGATGGACATCAGGAAATAGGTAACGTAATCTATAGTGCTCACGAAAGTCGCTTGGTCGCTGATTGGGCAAGGATGATGGAGAGGTGGCATCAATAAAAACCTCATTTGACTTTCGAGCAGTCCTATGATTAATAAAGCCTTTGGCCACGCTGCAAGTGGGGCAGTCAATTTGGCGATCTGGGCTGCCACAAATACTAGTGCTATTGCTTCCGCTACTGCTGCCACTGTTGCTTGTTACGCTGCAATGACTTATGCTCTCTGCATCAGTTTCTCTCTCAACCGTAGTGTGGACATCTGAATGAGCTCTTTCGTTATTAATTATTGTACTCCTACTTCTGTTCCTTCGTTTTTCTCTATCACTCCTACTGTCTCCACTGCTGCAGCTACTACTACTACTATTATTATTATGGTTACTAGTGCTAACACTACTATTCCTATCAGTGCTAACACCGCCCATATTGTTGATACCATTGAGAATGCCTCCGTCAATCAGAAAACCTTCAGCGATTCCATCGTCATTCGGTCCGATAGTGAGAGAGTCATTGCTACTGGAGTTATTAGTAGCTGATGATATCGAGGAGATTGTAGTAGCCATTTTCTTGGAGGAAAAATAGTCTGATCTACAAACGTTATAGACATCTCCCACTACATCCATAGAGCTGCTGAAACCGCTAGTGTTGTCACCTCTGGAATCAATGTCTGGCATCCTGATCAGGGGAGCATCTGAGATATTGTCTCCGGAGGTCTGATGGTCAGCTGGTTGAAGAGTGACTGAGCAAGTGGGGCCACTGCTGCTATTTTTCCGCTGTCGACAAGCGAAATGTGAGGCACAAATCTCTAATCCGTTCGAAGTTGATACTTCCATCGAGGACTCATCTGGCTTCTCAGCTTCTGTGAAAAAACAGAAACGTAGAACAGTTAGAAGGGACGAGTTAATGTGCTGGACAAGCAAATGGATTTTGTTGAAGATAAAAACAAAGTTGAATGAAGGTAATACAATTAGCTAGTTGATATAAATGGATAAAAAGCAGAATAAGGACAGAAAAAACTAACACTTCTTGAACAACATGTGAATTTGCAGGCAAGACCAGCACAGGTTACACCGATCTCTTTTTTATATTAAAAGGCTAGATAAAAGCCCATAACTAAGTCTCAAAGAAAAAGAAAGATAATTCAAGAAAACACTAGGATGACGAGCAAATCCAAATAA